AACTTAGCTGCCTACTCTTGCCTTCTAATCTGTATCTGGTGGTGTCCTTTCAGGTCAGCCTGGAGTAGTAGAGTCTGAGTGCAGGAATGAGGCCATGAGAGAGTCCTTTGATGAACTTTTTCTAGCCACTTGCTCAATTGGATGAGATTGATTCAGAAATATGCAGGAGGGGCAAATGTATGTGTAAGCCAAGGCAGCACACCCGCCAGCACAAAAGGCTGTGGGCAGAAGGATGGTTTTGTTTATTCCAGCAGACAGCAAGCCTTTGATGCAAGCTGGAGTCAGCACAAAGGCTCGGAGGAGCCCAGAGAAAAAGAGGATATGGTGCACAGCCAGGATGCATCTGAGATAGGCTGCTTCACATATTATATTTTCCACACAATTGTTCATATTTATTTCAGGAAAATAAAGCTTGAAAAACAGAATGTCAGAATGACTGTGCCTATTGCTTGCCTGTTACCTGGTGCATAAGTTCCCCACTATGCTTTTCTTTCCTTCCTGAGCAGAACCATTCATTTTTATGTGAAATGATCCAGAGGATCCTCTGGTGGAATATGCTCACAGGTTGCTCCAGGGCTAAAGGTATTCACTGATTAATCATTGTGACGGAATAATAAAATCATTAATTGCACCATAAATGTGGCTTTTAAATTGGATTTTAACAGAAGTTGCCCAATGACTTTCACCACTAATTGCAGTTTTATAATTATCTTTAGTGAATTTTAGATAAAGTTACCCCAATAAAAGGAATTCCACTGTTTTATTCAGTCAAGACAAAATGCTGTTCTTGTTAAACAGCCTCAGATATTACTTGGCACTGGGATTCTGGAACATCATTTATTTAATTCTCCTTCAGCTCTATAGTGCAGATATAAACAATTTTTACTGCAGCATTTCTGTGCTCTGTTGAATGACACCTGCATAAAACTTGATCTACAGTCTCTCTCCAGGGAGAATTATTTTCTGGCACCATTATTACCCGATTGCCCACGGAAATGTGTATGTACAGCAAGATCCATTCTCAGAAATGTTGCTATGATGGATGACCTAAGCAAAGCTACTGTAAATGAGGATTAAATAAGAAAATTTTAAATAATGTTTACAAAGAATTAACATGCCAGTGTAGTTGAGGATATAGCAAACAGAACATTTGGATGGTTGGTAGTAAATGGATCAGGAATAATTCCTGAATTAGTGGGGATTGGACTATATGACCTTGACTGGATTAGCAAACAATCACATAAATACATAAATAGACCAGTTTATGATTCCAAGAGCCTAGGTACTTGCAATCATCCTAGAACCTTCATGTGTAACTGCCCAAAGAGTGGAAATTGAAAACGTTTTGAATTCTTACCAAGCAACTGGAAAGAGTACTGATTTTACAAAAACTAGAAAATCACTTAAAAAGCCCCTCTTCCTTACGAAGCAAGGGGTCCTCAGAAGATTGCAGCTATATTCCCTTACATAAGTTCATAAAAGTGGGGTGAAAGGAAACACAAGTGAGTGAAAGGTGACCCATTGTGTGCACTGAAATACAAACATTCCAGTTGTATATGAAATTCTTGGATTCTGCTACAGGAAGATATCTTCATCTCTCTTCTTTCTGCATCAGCCAAGAACGGTAAAAGAGAAAGTACAAATCTGTTTTGCTTCCTC